TTCATTCTTTTTTGTGAACATGCTTAGTTTGAAAATTTCGTTTAGCATACTAACTTATAGGTGGCTAAAAATCTGGCATAGCGTAAAAAGAAAAATACAAACAAATGGGGGCTGTGTCACTTTGGTTGGGGGATGTTTAAAGACTCTTTAGAAGCAAAATAAAAAGAAAAGATGCGATTTATAATCCAGAATTAGTTAACTATAACTGCCTGTATTAAATTATTAAAGAATACACGTAAGTTTACATGATAAAAAATATTAAAATACGAAATGCGCTAAGAAATAATATACGCACCTGAACTGCACTTTTACCTTTTTGGTATATATATATTATATATTATTATATCAATAGTCAATGTCAATACTGAATCGTCTATACTAATGGTATTTCCTTTAATGTGGAAAGTGGAAACATTAATAATAATAATATTATTAATTGTTCAAATAGCACTTCAAACCAAATTTTTTCATGATTCATAGCCAAAGCTCCAGTGTTAGATAACCATTTATGACTCTTTTTATTTTTATCGATGAAATGAAAATTGAATGAATGGCGGCATGCAAATGCAATGCATCTCTGTGCATGATTTTTTAAAATCTAATCCTGAGATTTGGGACAGTGACAGTGCTGCTGTGACACTCTCTCAAGTCTCTCCTACACTAGACTTTATTATTTTTGTCAAGAATCATGATGGCTTATATTTACCTTAATATTAATTAGTAATTTACAAAGAAACTTAGTAGCAAATAACAAAGGTTTAGGTCACATTCATGGAAGTTTAAGTTTATGAAGCAGACGCCACTTTCGCTTTGACTTTCAAGCTTGTTTTTGGGAGACTATGTCGCAAAACCAATTTACAAATTCTTTAAAGAGAAGTGTTAATGAATATCTTTAATTAAAATTATTTTGAATTAATTTTTCGCTTAAAATTGTTAGTATCTAATGGGTATGATCTGTTGTTCCAGTGTTAATTTTACAAATATATCATTGGAAATCCCTACAGAAATCGCTAATAGCAAACAACGTAAAATAATTCACATCCGGTTGCTGATTTTCATATAAAAATTTGTGAGAAAATACATTAAAATTTACCACGATTCGGTATTTTGTTTCAAGATATATAGGCCTATCTAACAAATGCACAACAATTAATTCATAATTTATAAGACTATTCTTTGACGTTATTATATTAAAATGACGGATACTCTAAAAGGAATGAAGGAACGCTCCAAAAAGCGTAAACAGCTCCTTGCCCAAGTTGTAAGTTTTCATTTATAATTATTAATTAAAGTAACTAGAAGAACTTTAGGCAGATCTAAATACTAACACTAGTATTAGGCTGTTTTTTTATTTTAAATTGTTATTTTTATCTGAGACAAGTGTGTAATCCTCTGAATTCTGGAGGTGACTGGTGAGCCTATGAAGTCAGTGAAGTGTGGGCCTGGGAAATGTGTTCCTATTCCTTGTCAGTGTCAGCACTTATCGCCTATCGGGGATTTACTGTTTCCCAGTGTCAGTCAGTCAGTAGATACTCATTCTCGGTGCAGCTAGTGAACTCAAAGAAACATCAGATGTTTAATACAGCTTGGCATTAGCCTGAGGAGCCGATTGCCAGAATTTTCATTGAGTACAATGTCATGGGCTAATCCTAGTTACGATTGCCACGACTTATTTTCCATGTTTACGTGTGGGAGTTACTTCCCTTTGTTTATTTTTAGACAATTTATATTTTTATGAGTTAGTATTAATGCGCCCTAGGTATATTAAATATTATATTGATTATGTTCGTTTAGTGTGTTTATTTTCATATAAATGACAAAAATAAATGTAATTTTAAAATACAAACATAAAATTTTATGTTCTTTGTTGAAAAAATGATGAGAAATTGTTATTTTTTTATCGGGTAATTTATAATGAGAGAAATTTTTATTTTTTTATCGGGTAATTTATAATGATGCGTAAAGAGAAAAGAGTGCTTAATTGTTAATTCTGTTGCTATTATTGATTGCTTGACCAGGTGCCCGGTAAGTTCAATTTGTTAAATCTTGGATCGATTTAGGGTTCGGGTTAGGCATAGGGATCAATTTAGGGTTCGGGTTAGGCATAGGGCTAGGATTAGGGTTCGGGTTAGGCAAAGGGATAGATTTAGGGTTCGGTTTAGGCATAGGGATCAATTTAGGGTTCTGGTTAGGCATAGGGATCAATTTAGGGTTCAGGTTAGGCATAGGGATCGATTTAGGGTTCAGGCTGGGCATAGGGATCGATTTGCAGGTGTTTATTTCATTTAATTTGTATAGTTTTTTATTTTGGGAGTGGGGCTGATTTCAAGGTTTTTATTTATTTTTCTTAAATATTTTTTTTTTTTTTTTTAATTTACCCCTTTTTTCCATTTTTTTTCCTTTTTTAAAAAAATAAAATTTTATTTAAATGCTTTTAAATTTAATTTTTTTATTTTTTTTTTTATTTTTTTTTTTAAATTTAATTTTTTTTTTTTTTTTTATTTTTTATTTTGGGTGTGGGGTTGATTTCTAGGTTTTTTTTTATTTTTCTTAAATATTTTTTTTTTTTTTTTTTAATTTACCCCTTTTTTCCAATTTTTTCCCATTTTTAAAAAAATAAAATTTCAGTTAAATGCTGTTAAATCTAATTTTTTTAATTTTAATTTTAGTTATTTCTTTAAAATTCAATTTTTTTCGCTATTTTCATATCTTTCGGTATTTAGTTGAATTAACACATTTTTCTCCCTGCCCTTCCTTTTTAATCTCATGTGTTTTGCACTACTTTTTTTGGCCGTCATCTTGGTTGACACGTCACGTGACTTCATGTGACGTGTCAACCAAGATGGCGGCCATTGAGGAAATAGTGACAATCGTTATCAAAATTTACCATGTCATGTAATGTTATGTTTTTTTGTTAGTTGTTTGTCCTTCACATGCGAAGATAACCAACCGAAGGCTATAATCAAAGTTGAGTACGCAGGTGACCTGCCAGTCCCATTTGTGCTTGGGAAGCTTTTTTCTCATGCGAGACACACATTGTTTTGAGTCCTAGTTGGGTTTGAGTCGATTCTGCTTTTCCCTGCTGAATGCTTGATGGTGTGTGAGTGGTTTGCTTATTTTCTGAGGATTGTGCTCCAAACATGAGTCTGCCGTGCTAGCTTTTACGATCCATATAAAGTGTTTTCCTCAAATCAAGGTCAATATCCTTGGATTTGACTGAAGCTTTTAGACAGTCCTTGATGCATTTTTTTCTGCCCACCAGCTGAAATTTCCCTCTGGAAAGTTCACCGAACGTTAGTTGTTTTGCAAGTCTTCTGTTTGGCATTCTTACAACATGCCCTGCCCATTTGGCTTGTCCTTTTTGAAGGATCATGTGGATGCTGATAAAGTCAGCCCGTTTTAGGATATCTGTATCAGGGACTTTGTTCTGTCACCTTATGCCAATAAGTTTATGTATACAGCATAGGTGGAGATGATTTAGCTGTCATCTATGTCTGCTTTACACTGTCCATATCTTGCTAGCATATAGGAGAGATATTGTTTCGACTGCCCTATATACTTTCAGCTTAGTGACAAGACTGAGACCCCTTTGCTCCCAAACACTCTAGCAGAGCCTTCCAAATGCAACATTTGCTTTGGAAGTTGGGTGTTGATCTCATCATCTACTGTTACTGACCTGGAGAGGGTGCTGCCCAAATATGTGAATTTCTCCACTCTTGGAGATTCTGTCATACTATCTTGGGCTCTCTATCTCCTGATTTTTATACCGTTTACTACTGTAGTCTTTAACTAAAGTGTTTGTAACCAGAAGACAGTAGAGGTTTGTAGATGGAGTTTTCCTTCTCTTAGATTTGCCACCATTTGATGTTGACAGGTTCCATCTGTTGTCATCGGTGTAACAGTATTTACTTGGTCAATATGGTGTTTCTGTTGACCATTAACTCTTCAAAATATTCAGAAATTCATACTCTTCCACCATCTATCTCTTCGATAAACTGTTCTCACATCTTTTGGTTTCAGTATCCAAGCTTTTCCTTATAGATAAATATATTTATACTAAAACTTATTAAATTGACTACATTATTTGAATAATTTTAACAGTATGGAACTACAAATCTTAAAACTGCATTGAAAACTCATGATGAAGTAAAGCCTGCTGCAAAGAAGGAAAAGTCAAGGTAAACCAAGGAATTTCTATACAGATCATATGCTTGCATGTTATTGTTATTCTTATAGCGGGTAAATGATAATTTCCTACCCGTTCACCACCATAGTTATTTTTAATAAATAAAATAATTACTCTAAAAGCCGTTAAAGTATTATTATTATTATAAGTGGTTTTATATAGCGTGGTACTCCAGCCTAAGGCTGGGGTCTCCATGCTGTACATACAATTTAACAAACAAAATCAAAAACTTTAAAAATTAATTAACATACATTAATTAAATAAAACAAAACAAATGTATATTTAAAAATTTAAACAAAATTTAGAGTGCCTTCAAATTAGCCTAACATGTTTTTTTACTCTGCTCAGTTCCAGTGAAGGGCTGTTTGTCTCATCGTCGTCATCAGCACCATCTGTTTCATTTGAGCTCAACAAACAAGTACAGAGATCACGTGAAATGGGTCAATCTGCCGTGAGTAAATTTTTTTTCTATTCAAATTATAGTAACTGAGGCTTGAGAGCAATTTGGATTAAGCCATCTGCATTGTCACATTTGAGTTTGGAACCCTTTTACGGAGCAAAATGTATTGAAAATTTATATTTCTGATTATATTCTTTGATTAACTAATTATAAGAATGTTGGATTGCGATAAAGCTTTAAAGTAGATTAATTAGACACAAACAGTTTGTGTAAATAAAACAATATATGTTCAGCTTTAATGATGATTTTACAAAATACAAATGTAAACGTTCATCAATACAAAAAAAGAAAATTGAAGTAAGTAGAAATTACGACTCACTTCCTTTCCATTCTGCTAAATTCTGTTTTTGTCTGGGTTTGCGCCCACTCTAATTTTTTCTATTTTTTAGGTAGGATACATGTAATTATATATTACGTAAACTTAATTTATACTTACTTAAATCAGATGAGATTGAGTTCATGACTTTTTATTACAGGAAGGGTTTAAAGATGATTTTGAAGCAGATGAGGTGTATACAGATTCAAGTGCTTTTCTCAAGGTAAGTGACAGTTCAGAAAATATTCCACAACTAGAAATAAAGGAATAGTCTATCCAGCCTTCTCTATTTTTTAATTTGTTTATTAAATGCGATAAAACGAGCATTAACAGTTGGATGCAGTAATCTCATTTTTTTTTAAAATTATAATAACCATTTTAATTATCTTTTTTTTCTTTTTAACATTAACAGGGAACACAAAGTGCTAACCCACACAATGATTATTGCCAACATTTTGTTGACACAGGAGAAAGACCTCAAAATTTTATCAGAGACGTCGGTAAGTTCAGGATACAAGTTGTAGATAGACAATCTTAGTGTGTGGCTAACTCCATTGAAATTCCAATTTTATTGTTAGGGCTCACTGAAATGTAATGAGAACTTTAGCTGTCTCTTGTTTTAGGACTTGCCAATAGATTTGAGGAGTATCCAAAACTTCGAGAACTCATTCGCCTTAAAGATGAGCTTATTGTGAAAACAAATGGGCCACCTATGTAAGTATGGAGTTGCCAATAAAATCTCAATTTTGTTTTTAGTGTTGCGTAATGTTTCATTGAAATCAATGGACTGGGGCCATTCATAAAGGGTGGGGGTGTTTTGTTTGTCAAAATAAGGTGACATTGAATCTATTAAATAAAAGTACAAATAATTAGGCTCAAACATAGACTTGTCAGAATGGCAAGGACCCTTAAATGCCACTGTTACCGTATCCAGAAATTTGATTGAAAGAAATTTCGACGGAAAATTGATCGAACGGAAATTTTGTCAAATATTTTTTCCAGTTCACACATTAAAATTTTGCTTCAAATTTCTTTTTGAACGCATAAGTTTGTTTTACTGTATAGTAAAGTGCATTAAAAAATAAATCACTTATATCACTTTTCATTTTCATATATTAATAATTTTACCTCATCCATTTGCCAGGCTCTTACATCAGATATTGTTCAATTGTTTTTTTTTTGTTATTTTTATTTTGTTTGGTTTTCTCATGTGTTATGTTTTAAATGATGTCATTAGGTATCTACAAACTGATTTAGAGTTCTTTGATCTGAGGAACCTGAAATGTAAATTTGATGTGATTCTGCTAGAGCCCCCATTGGAAGAATACCAGAGAACACAAGGTGCTGTGTTTGACAAGTATTGGGACTGGAATGAGGTCGGTTTACTTTTTTTTATCATATATGAGCATTGTCTCCGCTGGAGCCAGCAATAACTTGTCTAGACTCGAGTCAGCAGCAATAACTTGTCTAGACTCGAGTGAGCAGCAATAACTTGTCTAGACTCGAGTCAGCAGCAATAATTTGCTTCTGCTGGAGCCAGAAATACTTCGTCTAGACTAGAGCCAGCAATAACTTGTTTCTGCTGCAGCCAGGAATAACTTGTCTTTGCTAGAGCCAGCAATACTTTGTCTTGACTGGAGCCAGTGACTAAAATATGACTATGCCCATCAATTAATTGTCTGGACTAGATCCATCAATAAATTGTCTAGGCTAGGCCCATCAATCGTCTAGACTAAAGCTATCAATTAATTGTCAAGATTAGATCCATAAATGGTTTGTCTAGACTAGAGTCATTAATAACTTGTCAATGGTTTGATATGTGATTTTGTTTTTGGGGGACTGGGATTATTTTTTCAAGTTTGCAGCATATTACAGTTTGGATAATATAATATGACAGTTTGATTGTACCTCCTTCACTGCTGAGTGCTTTGGCCCATGTATGTTTTTTACTCTAATTTAATATGCTGGCAACTTCACACTGTAGTCTAAAATTATGTTAAATTTAATAATAATTCAGAGGCTTTTAAACTTTGGTAACTTTTAAAGTTTTGTAGTGCATTTAATGTTGTACCCTTGCTGAATTATACAATTTAATTGAATGTGTGCACTCAGAAAACTCATTATACCAAAATAAGGATTGATTAAATTATTAGTTAATTGTGTTTATAGTCAAATAATAAACTTTTCTGGTATTGTTCTGCTGGAACTTGTGAAAATACCTAATATTCATTTCATCTTCACTATCACTATCATCATCTGCTTCATATTCTACTATTTCAGATAGAGGCTTTGGATATTCCCTCTGTGGCTGCACAACGATCCTTCTTGTGGATTTGGTGTGGCAACGCTGAGGGATTGGAGCGAGGCAGATTGGTAAAACATTATGCATCAGAGTTTGAGACCAGCACCCTGAAATGTTCCCTAAAAATATAACGTTTTTCATCATGGAATGGTTTCAACTAGGGTTTCTGGAATATATCAATGAGAGTTCTGCCAAAGATTGCATGATTACACAAGAGAAAGAATTATATCCTTTAGGATCTATCCACAATCCTAATTTTAGAAAATATTTTTTTTTAAAATTGCAGTATTGTCATCAAAATTAATTTTTTTAATTTGTACTTTTAAAAGAATGTGTGTATTGTTTTTTTGTATGTGTTGCTTCTAAAGTTCAAGTGGCGTGCTACCTCTGTTTTTAAATTTTAACTTGCTACTGCAAGGATCGTGATAAAATAGTTTGTCCATGCAATTATAGTTTTTATTTTCACCTTTATATAAGTGTTTATTTATCAATTTTAAAAATAATAAATTCCATAAAGATACCCTTTAGCACTTCATATCTTTAATCGTGACAGAACTAAAACAGAAACGATTATAGCCTATTATTTTGTCTTAAAGAAAATATTTTCATTCTTTTCAGTGTTTGAAACGATGGGGTTTTAGGAGGTGCGAAGATATCTGCTGGATAAAAACCAATATTAAGAATCCTGGGCACAACAAAAACTTGGAACCTAATGCAATCTTCCAAAGGACAAAGGTCAATATCTACTCATCTACTTGTGCTCTGCTTATCATTTCATGCATAGATTCTATACTAGAAACTGTACTGACAGGATAGTTGTGTGAATAAATCATTACTAATTTTAGGAACACTGCCTTATGGGAATCAAGGGAACAGTAAAACGAAGCACAGATGGTGATTTTATTCATGCTAATGTGGACATTGATCTCATTATAGAAGAGGAACCAGAATATGGAACAAAGGATAAACCAGTAAGTCATTGTTTTTTAAAACTATTTGTTTAGATTATAAAAATATTCAATCATAATAATTATTTTTGGTTCAACCCGTTTGCTTAAAACACATTACCCAAAGTGCACCATTTTCATATATTTCAATAAGTGGATAAGCTTCACATTTATTCATAAATTTTTGTGCAAAACTTAAGCTGCAAAGGGGATAGATTGAGCTGACCGTAATTTTCCAAGATTTGAAATGCACCTTGCACTTATTAACTTTGCAAGCATTTTTTTTTGTCTGATCCATATTATTCCGCAACTTTATCAATAATATTTTAAATTTAATAAAAATAATCATTTCATTCCTTTAACAAGCAATAGTTATGAATGCCCATGGAAAATCATATTTCACGAGACACCTTTACATTTTATAATATTGTTAATTAGTAAATAAATATATATAAATGTTATAAAAAGGATGGAAAGGTTATATATATCCTTTTTTTTTTTTCTTTTACAGGTGGAAATTTTTCACATTATTGAACATTTCTGTCTTGGGAAAAGAAGACTTCATTTATTTGGTCGAAACATTCGAGCAGGCTGGTTAACTGTTGGACCAGAGCTGCCCAGTTCCAACTTTGATGCAGAACTCTACAGAAGTTACTATGAGAGTCAGCCTGACGCTCACCTTACAGGTTGCTCTGAGGAAATTGAAAGACTTCGGCCCAAGTCTCCCACACCAAAAAATAAACAGGCCCCACAACAAGGTGGGGAGAGGGGTGGAAGAGGTGGTCGGGGCAGAGGAGGCCAAGGCAGGGGGCCCCCTGGTGCAGGAGGACAAGGTGCTGCTCAAGGAAGAGGTGCTTCAGGTGGGCGCTTTAGGGGATCTGGGAGGGGTGGGGGATTCAAAATGAGAGGAATGAGAGATGACATGAGGTGAAGAACAAAACTGAACTCTTTTTGGGGCATGCATTGTGCAGTCTTCATGGATAGGAATGTTGGTCAAATTAAGAGATTTTGTGAATGAGAACGGGTCTTGACTAATGTACACGGATCGTATCATATTGCTGATATAAATGAACAAAAAACAAATGCTGTTGACAGAAAAAACTTAATGGTGCTGACCGATCCACCAGACGAAATCTTGATTACTTGATCTTGATTTTACTATTGGAAGTCTCATATTAATGTAAAATTTTATGTTCATGTTTTTTAAATTCATGGATTGATTATATCTGTTTTCTATGAGTATTAAAATAAGTCAACAGTTTTTACTTTTTTAAACAAAAATTATCTTTTAACATGCCTAAGAGCTGGCCTGCACAACTCAAAATGTAAGGCGGGCCGTAATACTTTATGAAAAACTTGTGGGGACTGAAAGATAGTAGGACAGGGGCAAAGCTATTAAGAATATTAATAATAATAAAGAATATTTCATTACTTTGTGGGCCGCCAAGTGGGTGCTGGCAGGCCACATGTGGCCCACGGGCCATATGTTGTGCAGGCCTGCTAAAGAGCCATAAATAGTTTGTTTTTTTTTCTTTTTGTACATATTCATAGGTTCCTAATAATTTTGGGAAGTAATGGATGTGTGGATATAAATATGATTTTACTTTGAGTGTAAATCGGTTACTTCACATGTTTTAGCAACTTTTTTTTTTTTTTTTTTTTTTTTTTTTTTTTTTTTTTTTTTTTTTACATAATAAAAAAAAATGTTGCAACTATGAATTGTAAATAGTAAATGATGTTGCAAAAAATTATGCTAGAGCATGCTTTGTAAATAAATGAAACATTTTAAAGTTTTAAACCCTTTTCAAATAAGTTCTGGACCCGCTCTGTGGTTTTTTTTTTTTTTTTTTTTTTTTAGGTTATTTAAAATTCAAAGAGAAATAATTTTTTAAAATTTTTTTTTATTTTTTTTTTTTTTTTTTTTTTTTAAATAAATTTTGAAAATTTTTTTTTTTTTTTTTTTTTTTTTTTTATTATAGGATAATTCAAAATGCAAGGAGAATCAATATTTGAATATATTTTTTACATTTTTTTATTTTCCACTATTCTTAAATCATCAAATTTTTCTAAATTTTCTAAATGATGATATTAAATTGTTCATGTTAAATGACTTATTGGTCAAATGTGTTTGTATGTAACGATATGTCATTGGTAAAATGTGTTTGTATATATTGTCTTATTGGTCATTGTGTTTGTATGTAATGTCTTTGTCTTAGTGGCAAAGTGTCTTTATGTAATGATGTGTTTGTAAGTAATGATGTCTTAATGGTCAGATATGTTTGTTTCTCCAATATGACGGGCCAATTTGTAAATTAAATAAAAGAAGAATGTTAGTGCAGATTTTCTTTCATTATTATTTTTTCTCACTGATATCTTTTCGATCTAATTGTTTATGAGGGATAAGTTAGTTTACAACTATAACACTGCACTCTTGAATTAATTTCTTTCAGTAATCATTTCTAAGAAGTGAATAAGCTAAAAAGTAATTAAAATTTAAATAAAGAAGAAAGATACATTTTTTATTTTATAAAAAAATTGTCTTGATTCTTAAAGCAGTAATTTAGAAGCAGTCCAAGGCAGCTGGGTCATTGTCTCCATCACTATCAAAATCACCATCTGATAAAAACCAATCCTCCATCTGTTTAAAGCAGACCGAAAGAAATGATAACTTCTCTTGACTTGACTTCTTATCAAAGTCAAAAATGGCAAGGAGCAACTGTTTCATCATACTGAGCAGACAATTTAACAGCAGTGGAAAACTGTTCTTTTTCTTGGATTGGAGACAGTTTGCTATGGATTCTGATAGTGTTTCTCTACCGCCATCACAGGACACGCCGAGTTCATAAACGCTAATCAATTCCTGTGGCTTCATGGATTTAAGATGGTCTGATAACTCTGACTGACTTGCGCTAGAAACTCCAAATGCACATAGAGAAGCTTTGATGATGCTATTAATGTCTTGAGCATTTTCCCCAGTCCCGTTTAAAATCTTTCTTTTTGAATATGGTTCTACTGCAACTTCACAGGATTGTTCATTCGCTGAGGTGGTTCTAGAACTTTTTTGAAAGTAGACTAACGTTTGCTGGCTGACTGAGCTCTGCAGATACAAATCAAACAATTTACAGAGAGGTTGAAAGGGTGACCTGTTCACACCAGATTGTTGGTTTGGGACGTTCATTTGGGCCAAGAAAACATCTACAATAAACATTTCCTTACTGACATCGGGGACATCAAATAGAATTTTTCTCTGATCCAATACAAATGTTACTAAAATGTTCTCATTTTTGCTGGAGTGTTGAAGCTTTGAAACCAGATTGGTGACTGTCTTCAACAAGACTTCTTTTCGCACTTCTCCATCAGTGTTTGGTTGGTAAGCCAACAATGAAGAAAACTGATTCATGAAGTAGCCACCGAGCTCCACTTCCATTTGTCGTTGACAGTTGTTGAAGCTCCTGTTCAACACTTTGTCCAAGTCATGCAAAAGCATAAGTGAGTTTCTTTCATACTGATCAGTGCTGCGAGCAGCCTCTTGTCGGAGCAATCGTGGGTTGATTCTCTGTAATATTTCATGAAAGGCGAGCCAGAGGGCAAGGGTGATCAACGAGTCATTCATCACATCAAGGGAAATGACAGAGTCGATCAGCTTGTGAGACTGAAAAGGTTCGAAGCTCAGTGTTAGGGGCAAGAGTTCCTTTGTTGTGTCCAAATAAAAATCTTCGTCTTTTCCAAAAAGGTTTGAATCCAATTTCTCGGTGGAAATATCTCCGGAAAGCTTTGGATGCCCTGAAGCTATTACACTGGCATTTTGATTAATGACGGCAGAAAGAAAACTGTTTGCAGCTTGACTGCCATGAAGAGATTTAAACTGACATCCAGAGTTGCTGTTGTCCTTGATTAAAGAGCAGTCTAGTTTGGGTTTCTTTGCTTGAAACTCATCAGAGTCATCACTTTGATTATAAACACAAGAAATGTGTCCGTTAAGGGACAAAATTTCTTCACAAACATCCTGGAATACTTTCAGTCTCTGTGCACATTCTTCATTGTCGGCTGGCAATTTTAAACATGCACTTTTTAATTTGGCTTCAATAACAGCAGCAACATCCGTCCTGTTCATGAACAATAATAGTGACTCCATGGCAGACACAGACAGGCGAAAACTACAGACGTCTTGACCATTGGCCATGAGAAGAAGAAGGTCAGCCCAGCCCTCAGCGAGCAGAGATTCTACTGCCTGAACTTTCTGCTCCAAAAGTCCACCGTCTTCCTGTGGGATGGAGACTAGTGAATTGATATGCTCTAGGACGGCCTGTGACAGGAGATAGTTGCTGTGCTGTAGACATGCCCGAGCACACCTCACCAATGTGTTGCTGGGACAGAGTTTTGTCAGAAGTTGAAATGCCACGGGCTGAATGTATTCCCATTGTCTGGCCAGCAAAAAACCTTCAAGCTTGGATTTGATGACTTCCTGATGATACATTTCAAAAAATAATTGGTAAGATGCTTGATGCAGTCACCTAGGTTACCTATTATCGTGGGCAGCAGTTACTATATCAAGAGCAACCATTCAACCATGGTTTAGTGTTCCAATTCTAAAATTTTTTTGTCTGAGCAAGTATTTCAAAATGTGACATCAAAATTATTTCTAGCTTGGTTTTATCTGAGACCAATTAGCCTTGTATAATAATAGGATTAAATATTAGGACCCACTAGCCTTGTATAATAATGTGATTAAATATTAGGACCCACTAGCCTTGTATAATAATAGGATTAAATATTAGGACCCGCTAGCATTGTATAATAATGTGATTAAAGATTGGGACACATTAGCCTTGTATAATAATATGATTAAAGATTGGGACCCATCAACCTTGTATAATAATATTAATATGACTAAAGATTGGGACCCACTAGCCTTGTATAATAATGTGATTAAAGATTGGGACCCACTAGCCTTGTATAATAATGTGATTAAAGATTGGGACACATTAGCCTTGTATAATAATACGAATAAAGATTGGGACCCATCAACCTTGTATAATAATATTAATATGACTAAAGATTAGGACCCACTAGCCTTGTATAATAATGTGATTAAAGATTGGGACCCACTAGCCTTGTATAATAATGTGATTAAAGATTGGGACCCATTAGCCTTGTATAATAATGTGATTAAAGATTGGGACCCATCAACCTTGTATAATAATATTAATATGACTAAAGATTAGGACCCACTAGCCTTGTATAATAATGTGATTAAAGATTGGGACCCACTAGCCTTGTATAATAATGTGATTAAAGATTGGGACCCACTAGCCTTGTATAATAATGTGATTAAAGATTGGGACCCACTAGCCTTGTATAATAATGTGATTAAAGATTGGGACACATTAGCCTTGTATAATAATATGATTAAAGATTGGGACCCATCAACCTTGTATAATAATATTAATATGACTAAAGATTAGGACCCACTAGCCTTGTATAATAATGTGATTAAAGATTGGGACCCACTAGCCTTGTATAATAATGTGATTAAAGATTGGGACCCATTAGCCTTGTATAATAATGTGATTAAAGATTGGGACCCATTAGCCTTGTATAATAATGTGATTAAAGATTGGGACCCATCAACCTTGTATAATAATATTAATATGACTAAAGATTAGGACCCACTAGCCTTGTATAATAATGTGATTAAAGATTGGGACCCACTAGCCTTGTATAATAATGTGATTAAAGATTGGGACACATTAGCCTTGTATAATAATGTGATTAAAGATTGGGACCCACTAGCCTTGTATAATAATATGATTATAGACTGATTTGAGATTTTTTTTTTTTGAGTCCCCACAAAGACAAGGAAATGTATCAGTTAAAATAAAGAATATGCCCTTGAATAACAACATGAAGTTGCCTGTAGTCACCTGTGTTGTGTTCATTGGAGCCAGTAGATTATAAAACATGTCCTTTTTGGCAGCCTGGACGAGAATTTCAACAACTTTGGTGGCCACACCTTCCATCTGATCCTCCACACATTGCCACATAGACAACAAACATCCAGAAGATATCAACATAGAAGATATTTGTGGGTTACCTGTGAATAAAACGGAACTTCTAAGTAGACGTAAGGACATCTCATGCACATTTTTTTTAAAGCTTGCTTATTATAAACAATGATAAAAAGGGAAAAGAAACTAGAAAGGTTTAGAAAGGTTTATACAGAATATGTGAAGCAAGGTATGGTAAAACCTGAAATAAGGGCACAACAAAACTCACACAAATTTTTTTTAAACTACAAAATAAAACTATATATAGTACCGGATACAAATGCTTTTTATATTTGTGTCCAGTTTTTATTTTTGTTCACTGAAGAAGGCTGCTTGCCGACACGTTTGTTGTTTTGTTGCGTCGTTTTTTTTCTCTCCAGGTTTTCCCCATACCTTGTTTCGCATTTTTTTTATAATAAAGAACATGGTAAAATATTTCTCCAAGAATACCCTACAACAGAATCAAGCTAGTTTTATATCCGCTGTGTTTCTCCACTTACCTACAAGATACAAGTGTCCAGCAGCTTGGACAGCAAGTTCTCTAATGCTTGGATCCCTGTCAACCATCTTCACTTGAACACTTTTTAAGACATGGTCCAGAATCTCACTGGACACACCAACCGTTTCTCTGCTGCTGATACATGATAAGGTAGTCAGATAACAGTCCAAGACACTGGACAGTTGCTGAAAAAAATTTCATAAACTATGTTTGATTTTAGGTTTTATTCCAAAATAATGGGCTATGGGGAAAAAAATATAATTTCTTTCATTTCAGAACCTATATACAAGTCTTTACTATTTGGAATATTTTCCTTTACAGTAATACTTTTGTGCATTAAGATCTGTGGGATACCAATAAGTTCAGATTGCATTGTTCAATCTGGGATTGCAGTACAATAACTTTATAAAATATATTGGAACATTGGAGTGGGCATAAAAAAATGATACAATTTTCGAAGGTGATTTTAAAAAAACAACACCAATCTATCCCAACTTGTTATTTCCTTGTTACCCATAATGCAGTACCACTTGAATTCAAGGCAGCCTCTGTATAGATTTGAACACTGTGAAGGCAGTCATCTCCCTTACCATCCTCTATTAAAGTGGGAAAAAATTAAAGCATAAAATTTATTCATTTGAAAGTATATCTACTTAGGACATTAGATATGTTTACTTAATTTTACATTTAAACATAACACTAGATTTACTTATGTTCTCTCTGCATGTCTCCATCTGCAAAGCTACCAATGTTATCAAAGGTTTCTGATGTATGCTGTCTCCTGTAATTATTGATTGTCCTGCTATTGGAGGAGACTCGGTTGACTTAAAGGACAGATAATCGAGGACTGAACGATAGTTTGTAACCATCATCTGTAAAAAAAAAAAAAATTTAAATATAAAAATGTAATCAAATATAATTTGCGAACAAACATTGTTTAAAACAGGGGTTCCCAATTTTTTCTATAGTCTTCACCCCCTATGAATTATTTGCCAAAGTCTCGCACCCCTTACAAAAGTAAAAATGCCTTGTAAAATTAAATTAAAAATGTGGACTTGTAATTTTTTAATGAAAAGATGGCAAACGATAGATCTCAGAAAATAAATGTAACTTATTTAGTTTTTAAAAATGTTTTGCAAGAAATTTTTTAAATATATATAAATATGTGTGTGTGTTTGTATATAAAGTCATATAAGTTAAGGCCTCCTCTTTTCTTATAATCACTTTTTCTTGCTGCCTCAGAAATGCCCCTTTGCATGAAATGCCTCCTAGGGGGTGCTACTAATGGCATTCACTTTTTGTGCAATTAAAAAGAAAAGGATTCAAATATATACAGATTTTATATTTAAGCCTTCCACTTTCCATAGTATGAAAATAAAGAATAAAAAGATAAAAAAGGTTGTTAGGTATCAGCTTACCTTCTTGCTGGAATCTGTTATGAGATGTAAATTACTAATAGCTTCCTTCATCATTCGAGACGGTTTCAAGTTCAGCTCTGATTCTAGAAAGGTTTTCACTGCTGTTATGATGTGCTTGGAACAGGTGAGGACTGACTGGGGTCTTACACACAGTGCCAGAAAAAGTGGAAGAACCGAGAGCTCTAAATAAAACTTTTGATCATCTTCAGAAAGGTTCTCCCAGCTGAAAACAATAAAATCATTTTAAAGTGTGTGTTTTTGAAAGCCTAAATACATTCATTGATACAGTCATGCAAACTGAAATAAGAGCAAATGTTTGAGCCAAGAGCCACTGTTATTCATTTGTTATTCAATTAGTTTAGGTTGGACTACATTATCATCTTTCATAACAAAATTTTAATTTTACCCCCTTCAATACCATTGGGTAAACAATGTACAGGACTAAAGGCAGCACCAGGAAGATGCCTTTCTGTGCATTATTTCATGAGAGAAATTTTGATTTGGAGAAGGATAGTTTTCATGTCATCAGTGGCGCCCCAAGGGTTAAAAGAACTAAGGGACATGATGATGATGATGAATGTACTAGACAAATTACAAGATATGTCTGATATTCAAATCATCATTCCTCATCTAATTACATAAATAGTGGAAATTGCAACAGTTCAACAGTACGAAATAATAATCATAAGTTTTTAAAAGTAATTGAGCGGCAAAGCTTGTATGCGAGTAATAAAATGTACAATAAGATGTACTCACCTGGTGAGAATAATCCCAGCAGCAGAAATGACATCACAGGTGATCGTGTAATGGTCGATGGTACACAAATGTTGGATCACATCTCTCAACTGGTCTAATTTTTCTTTCTTGCCATGCTCTGTACTGCATTTTATAGAAAAATATTTATAAATGATGAGCAGCCAAAAAAATGTCTATCTCTATTTCCAAATATTTCAATTTCCACAATCAAGAAAAGTAAATGCAGAAATATCTAATGATACATTATTTTATAATTCAACCTAATGACAATGAAATTTTGTGCACACAATATCCATGAGTCTGGATATTCTAAGACAATATGAGTACCCTAGTTTAGTTATTTGCAGCTTAAATAGTAATGTTATCTTAAACAACAGTAGAAATGACTATACAGCTGTTTAAGGCAATATTCAGTTCAGAAGGTTTACTGAGCAAATTAACTAATCTGAGTGCTGCTCCTACAACTGTTGTGGGATGAAACAATTATGTTTTATGATAAGGTTATAGATTTACTAGAAATTTTTGTCAAAGATTTAGTAGTATTTGTGAAGCACTATGAGGCTACACATACACAAACCTGAACTGGAGCAGTTTGACCAACATGGAAGCACAAGACCTTGTCAGGTCTGGTGCATCAGTGATGATCTCTACTGGTGCAGCCTGAAGTACATCTAGTACAATATCAAATAGAGTTGTTGTGGCGGCCAGACGACACCAGTCGGGACTTGCGGCAGCACAATCACTCGCAAGCTGACAGTAGTTCACAAATACAGACCAGGGGTACACTGGTGGACCATCTGGTTTAGACTTGCCACTCAAATCATCCATCTGTTTTCCTGCTACTTCATTGAACTGCTGAATCACTGCAGACATGATTCCTTGTAGCCTTAGCCTCATTTTAGCTGAACTTTCTATTTCATCGAGAGGTTGGAAAGAGAATTTTACAAGCTGTACAAAATAATCAGCTGCTGACTTCCTGGTGTAGTTAAAAGGACTAGTTAGGGCATGGGCAAACGCTTGGGGAGCATCAACTGAAGGCAATAGTTAATTAAGCAATAAGTTAACATTAGCAGGTAAAGTATCTTGCAAGTAATATCGTTCTAAATAACATCATAGTCTATCTTACTCTCCATTCAAAACAAGATTTCATCAATAAAAAACATCATTTGGTGTGGCAATGAAAAGTAATCAATAATTTTTACATTCTTTGACTAGTTTGTGGAAACTGGTTTTTTATATATCTAATAGCAGATACTTAATGCAGCGGGTTTTAAGAATCAGGAAAAGTTTGAATTGTGTGCATAACAAATGGAACATTTATCATACCATAATATGTGTATAACAAGAGTTTTCATTGTAAAAGTGAACTCTACAAAGAGTAATGTTAGAGTATAAATAAATGCCATATCTTACAGTCTACTTCCTCTAACAAATGGAGCATGGCGTTCTGGTGCAGAAACTTTTGGTACAATAAAAATGTCACATCTACTCTGTGCCCCTTTTTGACCATCCAGTATTGCAAAGGAGCCTGAATAATTCTGAAAGCTGGTTTCTCAAAACAGCTCAAATCATCCGATGATGCTGACAGAAGCACTTGGCCAGCCATCAGGGACACATTGTTCATCACAAAGTCAGGGTACTCTATCAACTTGTTGTCTTCAAAAAAACTCTCTAGAAATGAGTTAAACCCAACAGTTTTCACTAACTCCAGGTCGTGAGCTGGGGACAAAATAGAATAACGAAACTTGAATGGAATTTCAGTCCTTAGTTTTAATTTAACATGTCATTTGTCTTGAGTTCCTAAAATCTGGATGATAATAAAAGGGAATGTTCTTATTGGGTTTTGAATAAACAATGTGTGTTTATTTTTTTTATTTTTTTTTTTTTTTGTTAAAAAGGATGAAAGAATATTCTGTTAATCATTTTTGGGGTGGTCTCCAAAGAGAAAGATTCTAATAATTTCTTGCCTGGACTGTTTTTTTAAGGGCCAATTCGGCCGGGCTGATTTATCTCTGGATGTTCTGTGTGACACGATACCTACTTGATCAAATGTGTCTTATTTGTGTGATTGCATAAGCAGGTAATGTCAATACCTTAGAATTAACATTTCTCTGAAAGAAAACACTATGCACAGGGCTGCACTCGGAAATTATTTCAGATGCAGCTGCTTAAAGACCATGTGAATTCCATTGTATGGTCCTTTACTGGGATGCAGGTTTGCAGAAGCATAACTCTTACAACATGAACTAGAAGCATATAGTGAGAGGGCATCACCCATAGAGTTTGTTGATTCATGAACTCTTACTGGACAGTTCTGAAATTTGAACATCCCTGGACTCTTCTGTTATCTGTGAATCAGAATTGTAATAGATCTCAACATGTCTTGTATTCATTTCTATGATCTTTCGATTCACCTTTCATTTTCGCTTGATTTTTTTAGGCTTTCAAAACATGCTTGCCCAATTCTTTAAGTCACATCTCAGAAACTAGGATGACGAAATGGAAACGATAATATCTCAGTTCTTAAATATTTGCTATAGCATTTTAAAGGTGGAGTCCTCGATGACTTCGATAGCTGGATGATAACCCATGCCTATTTGCAGCATCCATTTGTTGTGTTCTTGGCCAGCACTTCGATTGTTGATGGCTTGTGGCAACTGAAAAAAGGCTTTATCTCCAATATGCTTGATTTAATGCAGGTTTCAACACTGTCAATTTGCTTTCTGCTGAAAACTCCACTGACCACAAAAATCTGGCAACAGAATGACATTTTGTTGCACATGACCTCAAACAATATGAAAAATATGGCTTGAACTTGAACAGCATATTCTTATTTAAAATATTTTTAACACTGAGTTCCTCTTTTTCCTTTATTAATTTCTTCATCTTCATGTCCCTTAGTCCTTGGACCGTTGGGGCGCCACAGATGACATGTGAACCATCCTCATCCATTCCTCTCTGTCTTCAGCACTACGCACTGCATCGCCCAGTGTTAGTCCTGTCCACTCTTTGATGTTATCCTCCCATCTTTGTCTTCCTCTTCTTCTCCGTCCTCTTGTGGTGCCCTGCAAAATTTCTTTGGCAAGCCCTTGTTTCCTTGTTACGTGGCCGTACCATTGTAGTTTGCGTTTTTTCACAGTCGCCAGTAGGTCATCGCACTCCCCAATTGCCTGACGAACCCTTTCTTTCACTGTACCATTGGAGATATGGTCCCTATAGCAGATGCCAAAAATGCTTCTGAAGCATCTCATCTCCATTGCCTTTATTTTCCTTTCAAAATCAGCTGTTAATGTCCAGGAATACAGGAAAATGGAGAAGACTAATGAGCGCATCAGCCTGATTTTGGTGCTGGGGGCTATATTTTTGTCATTCCATATTTTCTTGAGCTTCTTTAGTGCTGTTGTAGCCTGCGCAATCCTGGACATCAGTTTGGGCTTGGAGCCTTCTTCTGAGACTATTTCTCCTAGGTATTTGAAGTGGCCGACAGTCTCTAATCTTTCCTCCCCGACCTTAATTTCAGTGGTGATGCCTGCGGTATTATTTGTCATCAGTTTTGTCTTTTTGGCACTGATTAGCATGCCATAGGACGACGAGGTCTTATCGAGACGCTTTACCAGGTTGGCTAGCTCTTCTTTGTTCCCAGCCAGTCCGTCTATGTCGTCCGCAAAGCGTAGGTTAGTGATTGTTCTGCCACCAATGCTGACTGTCCCTCCATGCGCTTCCAGAGCATCTGACATAATTCTCTCTAGGAAGATGTTGAATAGGGTGGGGGAGAGCAGGCAGCCTTGTCGTACTCCAACCGTGGTCTTGAACCATTCTCCGATGTTGTTGTTGAGGAAGACTGCACTGGTGGCCTTTTCATGAAGGTTGCAGATCATGCTGGTTAGGTTTGTGTTGATGTTGTAGTGCCTCATGGTGGTCCATAAAGCAGCATGCCAAACCCTGTCAAATGCTTTCTTGAAGTCAACAAAGATGTGGTATAGGTTATTAATTTAATAAATTGCAAATTTTTGGAGTGAAAAATAATAAGAACTTATTAAATGTTATAGATACAAAGCTTAAATTTGGTTTAGTATGTTAAAACATTAATTAACAATTTAAAAAGCAAGAAAAGTTAAAAAACCTCTTACAATCAAGAAAATTTAAAAAGCTTGCAATTTTTAGGTTTAAAGTAAGTTCTTATAAGATTAACTTATTTTTGTTTGGTTTATTGAGTTCAAGCAAAAAATTTGATAACCTTTTCAGTCATTCCTGCAATTAAAATTAATTGCATAAGTTTGACAAAGAAATAAAACTGCTAAAACACAATTATTCGCAGTTTCCCAATTAATATGCTTCCAATTTAATAAAAATAGTAAGAAGAAGATGACAGTGTAATGTCAATCTTATTTTACATATTATATTAACTCTCACATTCAGTTAAAATAATTACTTAATTATTATATTAAATATATTTATAATGTATAATAATACACATTAAAGATTACATGTACTTAGATTTAAGAATATTTATTTTATTTTATTTAAATTGGTTTGATTTAAATATAAACCCTCAAAGTGTTTGAATCCCATTTTATGTTTGGCGCATATTGAACACAAATTTGCACATTGATGACTGCGGTTACAGTATTATAGGGAATTTTCTTTTATGCACTATTGAAATCAGCATTACATTTACATTGTAACATAGATTTTTTCTTGCACCAATAGATAAAATACATGTTTGATAGCACTCCATTCTAAATGAAGACTTATTAAAAACTTAACTTAAACGTCCCTCGAAGCCATTTTTAACAAAAAAATTTTTTTACTATTTACTGTCAACATTTTAAGCTTTTGGGATACAGGAATTTTCAACAAACTTTCCAGGAACCATGTATAGGTCAGGAGGTATGATCATGTCAAATTTGATTGTGATCCACTGTTGTTTTTTTTCTTGTCATAAAGTATCAAATTAAAATACATTCATAGAAATATACAAACATAGTCACAATGAACTTTATATACCGGTAATAGATATGAAATAACTTTGACTCTGAAATTTCAATAATCATCATCATTAACACTGGTAAATAATAAATAATATAGCTATTGATAATGCAGGTTCATAACATATTATTTCTTCTATTAATGAATCCCTGATGGATTTCAGCACCGCACGAAGTTCTGCAAAACACAGTTTAACAATTGATGCTATTCTAAAAAAAAAAATATTAACTAACCAATTTCTTTGCAGAATAGCTCCATTACTTTCTCCATTATCCAGCTGTCATGAGTTGGTGCATCTTTCCAGCAAATTAGAATTCTTTTAAATAAGTTTGGAAATTTATCTGCATATATGTGCTTGATATCCATTGTTGCTGGGAAGTACTCCATTTATTTTGACATTGACTTTTTATTTCCTATTGATTTCTGGAACATAATAAAATATGAAAATTTTTTAATTACCCTAAACATTTTATAAAATTAACACATACTAAAGATTTTTTTTTTCATCCAGAAATGTAAAGAATTCTATGTAAACTGTATTTCATAGTTACACAAAACAGGACAATAATTTATTAAGTATCAGTCTTATACTGTTTTCACGTACTTTTAAAAAAAAAATCATTTTTGGAATGCCTATACGAAATGTCACGACCACGTTATATCAGAATTCAGACCGCATTATATCAGAATTCACATTGTACGGGTAGCAGATTTTCACTGCGCTTGGAGAAAAACACTGTGCTTTTTGTACTCATAGACTGGTGGTCTAGGGTTCGGATGGGCAAGGAATACAAACAAACGGATGGTCAAAGAATAACAACAAATATTTAGCCTAAATTTTAGGTGTATTCAACAGTGGTCAGTCGAAATTTAGTTGCAGTAGAAAATATTCACCAACACCACTTTGTAACTGAATTAAAAATACGACCCCTCCAAAAAAATTTATAACACATTTTAAGACATTTGAAACGATATTGACACATTTATCACAATATCTGACACACTTAAGTTAAGTAAATAAAGACAATGTCTGGCACACAAAAATGTATCTCTGGCCTCAGCTATGTCAACTTCAGATTCTGACTTCTACTTCTCTTAAATATTAATTCTTAAGTGCAGTTTATTGAATACATTTAATAATGAAACACTCAAACAAGTCACTATTGATTCGAAATATAAGATCAGCATGAGCAGGTTACCCAGTAAGTGATGCAAGTGAATTAAGGGATGGATTTCGACGTTTTCGTCGATTTTGGTTCACTTATACTTACTTCAGTCCTGGTAATTAGTATTACCTAATTTCTAATATTTTTTGTTTTTCCTTTTTTTCGCCTTCAATATTTAACCCCATTTTAACAAATACTAACTGAGAACGTATGAAACTTAATACACACCACTTAAATTTTATCTTGACAAAAAGCATTTTCAATTGTACTCAATAAAGACTAAAACTAGTTACCAAGTCAAAAAAACTCGTAATGTGGATTACTGTACTTTGCCTTTAATATGGTCATCACATTTACCAACATAACTTGATAGTTTTCTGATGCATATTTCCCAGTAGATTTCCATGTTATAAATTACAATTACACTTTAATTGATCTATCAGACAAAATAAAACTTCATTAATTAATTTAATGTAATTAAAAATATAATTCAATATATTTCAACTACGAATTATGTACCGGTATAGATTAGTATAAGTTTCAAAATATTTGTATACAAATGCTCCCAAAATCCTAGATTGTTAACCCACATAATTTAATCATTATCAGCTCCTCCCCAGCATAAATCTGAGCTTCACCCATGTCTTTTTCAGGTCAATAATATAATTTATACTGAATTACTAAGGTTTCTATAAACTGTATATGTTTTTTAAAGTAGGTCCTATTATAAGGGCCTCATATTTTGTTTTAAATATAATAATTTAGTACGGGTCTAGTTAGGGAGTAGGGTAGTGGTTTGAAACATGCAAGCCGCCCCAGAATAATAATAAATGCAACTTTAGAAATGGCATTTTGTGATATTCTTTGATAAACACATGTTTACATCCAGTTTGAGTGGAGCAGAGCATTGAAATGTCAGTTAAAATACAAAAATTAAAACTAATATAGCCTAATAATACAATTTTTATGAAAAATGTCTGTAATCAAGCATACCAGAAAGAAAAAAAGGAGAAAATGATACTGAACTTTAATAATTCAAATCTTTATTCATTAGTTGCATATAATGGAGGCTTTCACATAAAATTACTTCTTGAGAGCAGCACTAGTACTAGTATCATTATTAACCAATGCATACCATATGTTATCAATGAAATAAAATTCATCTATTCTTCTGAATGAAATATTAATCTCCCATCAAGAAGTCATTGATATAGTTTTAGCCGTCCAACTAACAATATTTGAAGATATGGGAATGTCTAAAGTATGAATACAACATATCAATGAACTAATTAGTACTAACAATATCACAAATTCAATTCTTGACATTAGCCAATTATCAAACCATCAACTGACACCAAACACTTTCATTCAGTAATCATTCCTGCAATAATAATGTTGAAAGCATTGTTTTAATTTGACAATAAATTCCTTCAGTTCACATCAGGAAAACTTGGTCATTATTACAAAGAGAACTTAAACCAACTTATAATTGCATCTAATAATGAACAAATATAATGTTAACAATTATTTATTGCATTAGCAATCTTTCTCTAAATTATATATCCTTTTGGCTAACGTGAAATCAAAATTCTGGAAATTCTCTTTAATTTTAATGAGCACATGACATAAATATCACTAGTATAAAATATGATTACAAAATGTATAAAATGTCCATCAAATCTCTGTAACAATGACCAACTTATCTGTCATGTTTCAAACCTAGTTAACACAGTAAATCCCAGTTGGTTGAATGTTAGATGATGTCAAGAGCAAAACCAACAACAATTTTCCCCAAATTTTTATCTTTTCTTTTAACATCTCCACCATGGCTGGCAGGAGATGGATGAATTCATGCAATATTTCAAAATATATTTAAAAGTTAAAAGTTTCATTTATTGTAAACTTTAAGGAAAAATCATTTTTTATTTCTTCTCAAAAAGCGTATTTCTAAATATCTAAAAATTGTATTGCTCCATTAAGTATTTTTTCAATTAAATGACTTTATCTAAATTTTTATGACATCAATCAATTATTACATAATTCAATATTTGACTCTTAAAGTATTGATATTTTTTAAATACACATGTATCACTCACTATTTGTTAAGATAAAATGTTTAAGTTTAGATCAACAATAACTAAATTTTGTAAAATAATAATCTCTTTTTTTTAAAAAAAGCTTTTGTGTGCTCTTGTTGATTCTGAATTCAGAAACACACAATAACCAGTAATTATATGTAAAAAGAAGATAATGTCCTCTTATTTGATCAAACCACATTTTTATTCAATGAAAGGACTACATGTTTATTAGAGAGAATTTTATTTGTCCTTATAAAAAATGCAGCAGCTGTAATTACGTGCGGGAATGTTGTAGACTTGAAGTTCTTAGGCCCTACTTATCTTTTATGATTCAACTCTTACAAAGACCTTTGGTCGTGAAAAGATTTTAATGGCTTCCTCCACCTCATTCAGTTGTTTCTCTAGTGACTGTCTCTGTTGTTTGACTCGAATGGTATCAGCCCCAATGGGGAGACGCTGCATTTGATTGATTATATCGGTTTGTTCTGTTGAAAAAAAAACAGAAAGTCATTAATGTAAAACTTTTTAACAAATTACTTTTAAATACATACCGGTAATTCAGATTTTTTTTTTTTTATTATTTCTCTAATACTTTAAAATATTAAAAAATAATAAAAGATTTTGATATTTAACTTATTTTTGAAAAATAAAATAATGTTGATAGGAATAGACCCCTTGATTAAAATTTATTTTTGGTTGTTTTTTTTTTACATGTAGAGCTTTTACACAAAATGTATTATCTATTTACCTATAATAACCTATCCAAAATCTGTTCCTGCACACATACAAAAATTTAATTGACCGCAACTTTTATGATTCAATTAAATTATCAACAAAAAACTAATAGAGGAATTTTATCTTACTTGCTAACAAAAGGTCCAATGTCTCTCTTCTCTCTTTTTCGGGGAGTTGTCGATGACCAGAGGGCATGGCAGGATCTGGTGTGTTAGCAATTCTATTCTCTTCTTTTTCACGCCATTGGCTCTTTCTTTTGCGCAAACTGAAGAAAGTAAATATGCTGTACATATATTTTCAGTTTGATAGAACTGGTTTGCAATAGGTTAAAATTTAATGACAATTTCTTTATTGTTTTTATTTGACAAAAAATTTATTAATTCGTGCAAGAATAGAATATTTTTTATCATAAAATTATATTCAAAAACACATTCTTCATTCCCTTCCTTTCTTACAATTAAAAAAAGCAGATTATAAATAATAAGTAATTATCTTAATATTTTATTCTACATTCTAAACTTAAAATTAAACATTCTTAATTGTATACTAGAAATATTATTCTCACTAGTCAGGCACTTCACCAAACTGATGATGGTTGAGAAGCTCCTCCTGGCGTTTTTTGTAGTCATCAAGGGCGGTAAGAGATGGTGGTCGGTGAATGCCAACTTTTTTAGCATTCATTCCATTCACTTTAATAAAGTTCCAATCATGACGAATCAATTTAACCTTTTGATTAAAATACATGAATTCATATAAACATGATTTCTTCATAATCATAGGTGCTACAGTGGTTGAAAAAAAACATGTCAATCATTGTTTGACTTAAATTCTTCTACCTGTGTGATTCTGATAACGGTGTTTATTTTATTCAGATTAAGGGTTAGTGTAGGCCTATATTAAAGCTGGACTGAGCTGATAGTGAATGTGTTGCTAAAAAAAGGAAAGGGTAAGAAATCGTCTCTGTTATAGAGAGCTTGTTTACATCATATTTCTCGTGCGTGCCCTCTGATTGACCCCGCATGAGACGCTGTGTTCACAAAGGGGTGTGGCTTAGGCCTTTGAAGTAACTTGTTTACGCCGCCAACGAATAAAAATAATTAATCTGTTCCAAATAGTATTTGGTAGAATGATTGGGATTTTTCTCGAAATGTCTCGAAGGCAGGGCTTGGGCGTCGGTAGACCCACCTATATAAGGGATTGACAGGCACGGACGAGAGACGGAGATTTTCTTATAGATTCTCTTAACATTACGAGGCGTGTTTTATTCTTTGTGTATTTGTGTGCTCCTACTTATATGTGTTTATTTCGCATTATTTATTGGCATCATTATTTCTAATTGTATTAACTGTGTACCGGTACAAGATCCACCATACTGTAAGTTGAAGATTGTAATTTTATTTTATTTTATTTTGTAATTATCTTAAGACGTAATAAATCTTATTAATTGTAACTAGAAACTGTTTTGGGTCGTATCTTTAATATTGTTGATTCTGTGGTATCGTCCTTTGTTAGGCACTGATTACAACGAGCCAATTAAAATTAAAATAGGAGATTAATTTCTCCCAACACAAGTCAGTGCGTAACAGTCTCCATCATTCAATAAGAACCTACAAATCTGAAAATGTTATCATGTTGGGGAATAAAAAATTCATTTCATAATCAAAGTCTCATTTATCTTCAGATCACATAAAAAATTTAGCCTTTAGATTTAGCAAAGACTTAGTAAATACATTGTATGAAACAAATTTTTCTAACTCACATCTTGAGCTGTTGAAGCTGGCGGAACTGTTGTTTTATCTGTTACATCTGGTGTGACGGGTCGAGACTCTAATTTTACTGGTGGTCCAGCTCTAGAATGGGCTCTAAGAAAATTTGCTGAACTTGGTCTTGATGTGTATGGCTTCTGTTTTAAAAAGTTAGAACAATAAGTATAGAAATATGGATGAATTTGTACCGCGCTTCGAGCCTTTGGGGATGAAGCGTGATTTTCAAATAAGCTTTATTATTATTATTGTTATTAGAAATGGCTACATCGTTAGGTTACTAAATGATGTTAAATAAATTTTACGGTAAATAAAGCAATATGACAATAAAAAACAAAAGCTTAAACATTAAAAGAGAAAAATTTAATGACTTAGTACAATAAGAGAGTTTGGCTATAATTCGAGATTATAAATTTGGGTAAATAAACCTAAAATTTCACACTAGGTATATGGTAGTTTTTTTATTTAGGAGCCCAGGGTTAGCTTTTCAGTGATAAGATACAAAAATAGATCACAGATTCCCAAACCTATTTTTTAGTTTGAACCCAATTTTTATAGAGGCAAAGTGACAAACAACCATTATACAATTTATAAAGATTAATATCGTAAAAGAAAATACATCCAAAAGTAAATGTTTCAAACTGGAGTATTAATTATGAAATTAAACAAACGTTATCAATTAAAGTACTGGTTAAAAATGAAAATGTCATTAAAATCATTATTTTTAAAGGTTTCAGAAAGTGAACCAGGAAATAAATAATCATCTGATAATTTGCAATCTAATTCATAATTATTTTATGACAATGTTTTGCATTTATGAGATAGAAATGTTTCCCCTTGTTTGAAATCATAACAGATTCAGTTGATCAAGTTTCTCTAAAACTGCTATTTTTACAATGAGTTGAATGAGTATAAGATTTGTTTACCTCAACATCCATTTTAATTTTTGATTCAACATTTGAATATTTTTCTGACTTCCACAATACTTTCACAGGTTCCTGTTTTTCCTCTTGCTTCTGTTTACATCGACGTTGAATTTCCCGTAAGCGCCTGACATTTTCATTCAATTGATTTTTTGTATGGAAATCTGAAAACATTTTAAGAAAAATTAAAACTGTAATGTGAGTTGATTAGTCCCATCATCACAACATAGGCCTACTACTTTATTTCTACTTAATGTGATAAAATCAATTCTCAGATCTTTACTATGTATAAATACTAGTCAAATATGATTGATGAAGTGTGCACTTACTTGAGTATACATCAAGCATAAACATGTATTGAAACTTAACATGCATTTTTTATTATTTTTTAAAAATGCTGAAAAGGATCTTTTAAAATCTGGTACTGCATTAAATTTTATAGGTAATGAGTAGCAATATAAAAATGCTTGCCACTTGGTAATTTACGTGTATATAGTAATGATTTTTTAAAGCATACTTAGATTTTGTTTTAATTCAAAATTTTTCAAGTGGTATGTATATTTTTTGCGCTAGAGTCACCCCAGAGATAAAAAGACTGCTGCATTTTTTTTGTACCTAGGCCCTAATATGTTTTTCCAATTTAAAAAAAATATTCTTTGAGGTCTCTGCTCTTTTAATGCGGTACAAGGTTGGTAAACATGATTATATCAATGTTATATTACCAAAGTTACTTCTCATCCTCCACAAAGTTCAAGCACTGAATCAGAGATGACTTGTAAATTAAATCCCTCACCAAGCAATTAATCTGGGATAAGTAGGAAAATAAAATGTATAGATGAGTTATATCTTGACCCAAGCGAAATAACATAGTAATAAGCTAACCGGTGACATACAAATTTTTTACCATGGAACATGTTGGAACCAAAGCATTTAACAGTTACTCTCACATACTAAATAATAACTTAATTCAGTAGTTCTAACATGGTGGAGCGGGAGGGTTGCCAACCATCTGTAAACAATTTGGCCTAAAATAACTTTTATGTAAAAGTCTGTAAGAAATTTAGGATGTCAGTAAAAAAAAATGAGATATGTTATATAATGTTACAAAAGTCTTATGAAGCAAAAAGAAAAGAGATATATAAAAGTTTTGCGATTTTTTTTCTTGCTTGCCCAAACAATTAACTTAGTTTTAAAAGAGGCTCATACAGACATAGTAATAGAAAGATAACACAACAGATATTTGAAAATATATTTAGCCCCATATTTTATAAATGTCAAAGTCGTGCCACGGGTGGCTCAATGACTTTCTAAACCATCGATTGTCTTATTATTTAATTACCATACTTATTGCATGTGATTCAGCATGGGAAATTTTTGTATCCAGTACACTTTCTTTATGTTTATAGATTTTAATTTTTACCACTTAAATAATTTACATTATAAGTAATTTACAATTGAATATGTAAAATGGCTTTTATGCCAGTTACTGGCAAGACAAGACAAGAATATAAAATCCGACAATATACCCAAAAAAAAAATGACACCTAATTTCTTTATAATTTTAAGAGTAAGAACATTACTAAATAGGCCTAGAGTATAGGCCTAGCATAAAATTATGACATTTTATGAATATGGGTAGCTCTTTGAATTTTTTTGTTTGTTCATAGATTCATATAATTAATTTTGGACTGATCGGTCAGTACAAACTGGGCAGTCGTCATCAGTCAGTGTACAAACTGGGCATGCTCAGGCTCAAGGCAGTTGACTCATGCCACAATCACAAAGCATCCTTTAGACTTTATTTGATAAATATTTAAAATCATTTCCTACTACTATCTTATTAATATAGTGATAGTGTAGAAGTATAGCCTCTTAAGCCTGAATAAAAACTGGGAGTATGGTCACAAGTCACTACCACATTCAAGACACTCACAGAATTGAGTAGTCACACTCACAATTCAGTCAGTCACTCAGTCCACTTATTAGAGTCTAGGGCTTATCAAGTCTAGTGCCTGTCTTAAATTAAAGTTTAAAGTTAAAGTTTAGTGGCCAGGTAGGTAGCAGTCACTTTCATCTTCACCCACCCAGTACCCTTTGTTTACCAGTCTTACTAAATTAATGAACTGTTCAAATACAATGATCAATGAACTCATCGTCATCATTATCATCAATCAAATAATTTTTAAATTAATGTCAAAATTAAATTTGTTATTTACCCTTTTCAGTGCTTAAAAAATTGAATTTGATTTAATTTTATTGCTGCATGCCAAAGTATACTTTTCTTTTTAGTGCGTCTCAGTTAGCTTCGATTTTTATATATATATTATATCACATATGGTAATTATATTTTGTAGGGCTAATTTTTTTCCTTGCCAACCATAAACAATTTTTACAACGCCATATTGATTTCAAATGGTCACGTGACACTGAAATTCGGTAATTTCAATTTAAAAATTTAATTGTTATATTTTCTCGGAATATCTTTTAACGAATGCAATAATTATTTTACAGTTTTATATATAATAATACTTGAATCAAATAAAAAAATATATTAAAATCTGAAAGGACGGAAATCAATGCTGTTATGGCAACGGAAATATCCGGTTTAATGGTGGCGCTTTGTTGATGAGTTACATTTTTTTAAAGGAAAAGCAGTTCTTTACTTGAGATAAATGGACTAAATAAATGTTGTGCGCCTTTTTTTTTATTATTCCAAATAAAACCATTAAGTTTCCATCTGTAATGAACGTTAGTATTTTTTCTTTGTTCAAATTTAATTTAATTTACCACTTCTACTTCTTTTATTGAATAATATTTAAAAAAGTATCTGAATGATAATTTTAATAATTTCATTTTCATCATCGAAGTCGAAATGATCCAATCAGAACCATTGATTTCGATTTAGCTTTGAGTGAGTGAATATTTTGACAGCTTTACTTGAAATAATTTGTTTTAGTAGGCAAGTTTTAGGTTATTTATTTCTATATATATGGTGGGAGAGGGATCACACATTTTTAAAAAAATGTGAGAATGTAAATGGAAGGTTTGATTTTGATTTGATTGAATACTTATATAGTGCTAAGTATCCATGCTATTTTAGCATGCTCACTGTGCTCTCAGTGATAGCATCCAGGCTGTCGCAGGGGTTGTTGGAATGATTCATTGTTTCGATGTTTGCTTCCTGTGGGGTTTGAATTTAGAGTTTCCCTCTCTTTGATGAGGTTAATGAGTCCCATCTACCCGGGGTGAGGTTTTTTTGCTTGACTGGGCTTTGGCTGGAATTGAACTCCTGACCACCAACTTGAGATTTTGCTCAGTTTAGACCACTCGACCACTCGGTTGGGGAACCTAAATTGACAAAAACAAAATCATGAAATCAATTATTATGGAAGGTCTCCATACTAAATACTTTTATACCATTTCCACAACAATATAATATTCCAATATAAATAAATATTTGTTTAAAATACACTGGACTTGGTCTTAGACAAATCATAAATGTAAAGCTTCACCAGGAGAAAAGTGAGACTGAGAAACTTCCTTAACTTGTAATATAAGATTTAGGGCTAGGGGTTAGCGAACATTTTTAGCTTCACCCAAAATTATTTCTTTTACACTGAAGTTACTCCCTCGTTTTGAAAGGGATTAATCTTAAACATTTTAAATTCAAAATTGTAGAGTCTGTGGTATGGAGAACACAATACCCGGTAATTATAAAGTGTTAAATAAATTTATAAAATCCTCTAAATTTGTTAGCATATTTATTATATGAATATGATAAAACAGTAAGAAACCAGGCCAAGATAGTGTATATAAGACAAGACATGGTTAAACTAGCTGCTGAGCTGAGCCAAAGCTGTTTACAAGGTGTCGGGTGATGGCCAGATGCACTGCCAGGACAAAATTTTCTATTGAAACAAGAAACTCTCTTTTTATAACTTTTTAGATCTTTAATTCTGTCCTTTCAGCACTCATTACTCCCAAGATTTGAATTTTACCCCATTTTGGGTTATTTCCCCAACCCCTGATTTAGGCTTACCTTTTTGCTTTAACTTTAATATAATTTGCATTTGCTCCACAATGGTACCTTTCCACATCATTTTGATTTAAGCTTAAAATTAGTTTTTAAAACACTTGTATTTATATTTTGTGATCATAACTGGAACTGTCTTTCTCCTCAGAGTCCCTTATAATATTGTGCATAAACTGAGCAAGCAAAAAGTGAAATAATAAAATGTCAAGGCTAGGAATAGCTAAAGGCAAAGCTGCCGAAAAGTCTAAGCCACCAACAGCTCAGACTCCAACTGCTACGCATGATATTGTGCCAGGAAAATTTAATGAAAATGACTGGTAAGTAAATGTTTTTAAAAGTAATTGATATCATTTTGTTCTTATTGTTTTGTTTTTTTAAATATATAATTTTTAGTTTATTGTAGTAATTTTAAGACTAACTTTAAAAAAAAAAATACTGCATTATTATTAAATGATAAATGTTAAGATGTATGCATTGGAAGGTGTAATCTTTACAAAGATGACAAAAACTCCAAGAAAAAAAAAAGGGATAAGAAGAAGTTGGTTTATCTCATATGCATGATGATAGCTTTAATTTTGTATTTGAAGATCACTGGATGGAATTACAGTAAGTGTTTCTTTGCATGGATGTTGTTGAGGTCTTGGAATAATGAACAAATGTTTTATTATTAAATAGATTATTTGAGCTGCTATGAAGCTGCTGTAATTAAAAAGAATAAAAGTATGTCTCAATGGTTTGAAGGATGTTAAGCAATGCATAATAAATAGGTTAAGTAAGCTGTTTAAAATACATGCAGTGAAATTCCTTGTCCCAAGGGCGTTTCTGTCTATTGGTTGAAAGCTGTGTGAGTGTTTTAAAATGAGTGGATACTGTGACTTATAGAGAGATTGAGAGGGAAGGATTAGAGATAAGTTAAGACCTTGAGGTGACTGAGGAAACTATCGTAATTCATGCCTAGTCTACTATTGTGTAATGATGTAGAGTGTAAATAAACTCTTCAAGCTTGTTAACTTGGCGTTGGAGTTTTACTTGATATTCATCCACCCAACCACACTGCTTAAATCACTGAAGCACTTCAGTAACAACCAGACATCTAATAGCTTGACATAATGCCAACCACAAATATTTATAACATTTGTAGTAGCCAAAGCTATCATCCAGTAGGTAGTGGGCTGTCAGCTACCTGCCTTTGTCATCTGTGCTTTTTCCCAGTCTGAGGTTGGACATTTTTGGGTACAGAATTTTTGGTCCACTTCATGTACTTTATATAATGCCCCAGGCATTACTAACTCTAGCTCTCCTCGAGGCCGATGCCAGTTAACACGTGAGCTGGTCTTTGTAGAGTTTTTGGGAGCAGTTCTGTTTCAGTTTATTTTCACTAATCTCCATAAAGTCTACTATTGAAATCTGTCGTTGGTGACATTGTGGGGTAAATTTTATAAACTATTTCTTTTGCATTCAAAACTACTTAAAACAATTAAAGTTACAAAGCTATGGTTTTTATTTTCACTAATCTCCATAAAGTCTACTATTGAAATCTGTCGTTGGTGACATTGTGGGGTAAATTTTATAAACTATTTCTTTTGCATTCAAAACTACTTAAAACAATTAAAGTTACAAAGCTATGGTTTTTATTTTCACTAATCTCCATAAAGTCTACTATTGAAATCTGTCGTTGGTGACATTGTGGGGTAAATTTTATAAACTATTTCTTTTGCATTCAAAACTACTTAAAACAATTAAAGTTACAAAGCTATGGTTTTTAAAGCTTTATTTTGAATCGTTACTTACTCAATTGTTAGATGAATAACAAGAGTTCTTTTAAGTTTATTAGTCATATGTCTTGGAAGGCTGCTTGCAGGGCCATGATCACAAGCTTGAGGTCACCACTTTAGCTCTTTCTAATCATCTAGTTTTAAATCAAACAACTATTACACATTATGGACAAATGAGCTATATTTAAACTGTGAATTATGGATGAGCCCTGCTTCCATTCTTCTTCATCATCACATTAAAATAATAATGTCAAATAAACCATATCAACTGTTCTATCAATAAATAGGAATATCATGGTGGAAAGAGATAATGCTGAAGAATTCGGGTTAGAGATTGTGGATGATCTAATGGAAAATCTTATGTCTTCAATTTATGATAAATACATACAGTGCCAGTTGCTGCCCTTTACAATCACTCAAGCTAGAAATGCAATAACAGAAATTGTTGAGGTATAGCAGTTTGTTATTCTTAATCTTAAAAATAAAATTTAAGGTGGGTCACTGGTAAGCTTAACAACTAAATGTCTGTTGGTCTTTATTTTATTTTGCATGATCTCCCATTTACAGTGTAGGAATCATACACTAGCATGAATTAAAAGTAGCTATATTAAAAAACGACTCAACTATTTCTTTTTAGCTCACTCTCCATTTAACTTAAATAATAATTATAGAAAAAGCTCAGTTTGTTTGAAAGAAACATTGTGAATTTTTTATAACTTTATTTTAAATATTCGTACATGATTAATTAAATGGATGATTCTTCTAACAATCAGCCAAAAAATAGTCACAGTACATGAGCAATTAGTTTTAATATCCTTGCACTCTTTGGAAACGTTTTGGAATCATCTACTCACCACTACCATATTACTTTATTACTACTTGTAGTCTGATCTATTCACCAGTGCCCAATCTACTTGGCTCCTGATCTAACCATCATTAAAATTGAAGAATGAATATATCTTAATGTATCAGAATAAATTAGTTGTTAATAAGTACTGAAGCTCTATTTGCAGAACAATACAGAAATTTAAAAATTATTGTTAATTAATGAGTACAGAAAAGTTTTGTCAAAGAGTTTTATATAACAAATTTTCTACAGATAATCTCTACAAGCTTATTATCAAAATGAATAAAAAATATTTTTTACATTTGTTTCAAATTTACAAATTTTTTAATCAGACTAAATGATGTGCACAAGTAAAAGTTTCTTTCATGTTTTTACAGTGGTATTTCCTTGCAAGAGATGAGGGAGAGAATGTTCAAGAATTAGAAGCTGGCTGGGCTCAAGACGAAGGTACTGGAAAAATTACTTAATGCATGAATAGTCATTTTAATGGCTGCCAGACTTTGTTGTTTTAATCGCTGTAATGATTTTTTTAATTGCTGACAAAATTTGTTGCTTAATTGTTGACATATTTGCTGATGTTGTTGAAAGTTCCAAGTCATTAAATAAATTATTAATTGTTGTTTCTATTGTCAAGTTTTCACTCCAGTGTTAGAGGAAATAGAATTAGCTAGAAATGCAAGGGCAGAAGTTAAATTTTAAAAGTTAACCGTTTAACAACTTTTATAATATTTTCCCTTGATTGTGTTTGATGCTGTGTGTGGCTTACTGTACATATGAGGTGCTGTGTATGTCCTTTATCAATGTTTTTAACATTTTAGAACCGGAACCATCAGCAACGGATTGCTGGGCCCAAGGGTCAGTTCCTAAAAATCACATTCCAGTCAGTGGTCCTCTCATGGAAATACCAGAGGAGGAAACTCCAATAGAAAATTTACCAGAAAAAGAGTTGTGAGCTCATTAATTTAAAGTGATATTGTTGTAACAATTTGTATAACTGTTTCCTTAATAATTTTCAATTAATTTATTGTTGCAGGCTTAATTATTGTAAAACGTCAAAATAGATTTTGTATTTAAATTAGATTAAACAAAACGAAAGGATTTGCTTTAATAGATAAAAAAAATAATTACTCTTTTAAAATAAAATAGATTATTGAAATCCATTTACACAACTTACTCATTTTATCATAATTATTACATAATAAATAACTTTTTGTTAGGACACCAGCCCCAGAGGAAGATGACAGGGAAGCTGCAGAGTTGCCAGACATTGTGTCTGATGCTGAGGAAGAAGAGACTCTTGAACAAAAGGCAGTAGACAAGGAACAAGAGATTCCATTAGAAGATAAAAAATCTAGTGACTCAAAATTAAAATACAAGTTCCGCCCATATCGTGGCAAGTTAAAAACTCCACGTGTTGGAAAAATGACAGAATCTTTAGAAAGCACAGAAAACACAGCGTACCACGAGATAATTGAACTTGATGAGAAGCTAACAGCTAGTCTCACGATGCCTGTATCCTGCACAAGTCTGCTCAGAGTATGTATACTGCTTGTTTACTTATTCCTTGTCAAATATTATCTCATCTACACCAGCTTAAAAGCATTTAGTACTTTAATGTATTAGAATTAAGGGATATTTTCTATAAACATTTAGTACAGTGTAGACTTTGGTCCAGTAATAATCCTCATGATGAAATTAATATGTCACATTAGTAGATGCCCCGGTGTCTATCCCCCTTCCCCACCCCTGAGGGTAGGAACCCAACCCCCACCCCCCACTAAACCTTGGAGTGTGATTCATGCCAGTCGTGGTATGTATTGCCAAGAGGTGTTTTAATTTGGGAGTTTACACTAATAATGCTAGTATTTCGCTAATAGCTCAATAATTCTTCACATTTTCCAGCAAATCAAATCTTGTGATAATTCAAAAAATGAATTTTAGTAGGCCTATATTTTTTTATTTTCGTTTTAATTCATACAATTCAAAGTTTCAGTGAAAGGCTGGGTGGCTGGGCAGTCAATACATGTCTTGTCTCCTTCCTAGAGGGTTGCAGTTCTAGCCCGATTCCTACATTAAAAAAAAAAAAAAAATGTTCCTCCTCACAACCCCTAACCCCCTTTTTCTATAAGAAAAATATAATTAAAAAATTGTATTTGTATTATATTCTTTCCCATTATAATTTTATTACCTGGAGAAATTCAAGAAGAAGGCAGTGGGGATTATTAAACAAACCCCCCCCCCCCCCCCACTCCTTACTCAGATTGGAAGCAACTGCTTCCCCCCTCATTCCCATTTTCTAAAGTGACTTGAAAAAACATGAACTTAAGTAACGCACATTTATGAATACCAAGTGTTGCTACACCTACCCCTCCCTCCCCCCCCCACTCCTTACTCAGATTGGAAGCAACTGCTTCCCCCCTCCCCAGTGTAGATCTTCCTGAGTAGATGTACATCTTAATAAAGGAACAAAACAATTAAAAATACTGCTTGTGTGCACTATTGATTGATTAAAATATCAAGATTCACTGTCTAATGATCGTAGTTAGTGTATTTATAATTCATATAATGTAAATCAATGAATCATAATTTTCATACTACCGGTAATTTGGAGATTATATCATGGTATATCTCTGTGTTGGTATATATATCTATATCAGGCCCATTCTGACAAGTAAAAAAAAAAAAACTAATTGTTACTCTTCGGCACAAGGTAGGCAACTTTTTTTAAAGCCACAGTTCTGGCAAATAAAAAGTAGAATTGGCCACAAAATAAATGAAGCATGACAAAACCCCAGGAAAAAAACTGTTTAATCATATTTTCCCCAAAATTAGTGCAAAGATTGACAATCATTTTCAAAACAAGCTTCACAAATGTTGGTTCAAAGAATTGATTCAAAGCCCACCCATGTGTCTGTCTCTAGATTAACATTAAAATTTCAAGATCTTTATTTTTACTAGATGAAACCCTAATGTAGAAAAAGCTATCAAAGTGAAGTTGATCCAAACTTTGAAAACATTTTGAAATGTCTAGCTTCAATGTTTCAGGATTCTAAGTAGTTTTTCCATATTCCAAAGGCTGACAATCTAATGGCTTGAATGTTCAATATAAAAATGAAATATGTAATGCAAAAACTGAAAGGCTCCGGCTATTCTGACCCGGTATCAGAAGTGAGAGGTTGGGTTTATTAAAAAATATTAAAAATATTATTGTTGGGTTTGTAAGTTTTATAAACTACCACAAATGATACCATTAGGTCTAAGGGGATCCGGGTCCGAATAGCGGCGATGCGTATCGGGTTCCTTTTTACTAAATGCTATTCGGATGTGTTAACAAATTTTAATCAGTCGTACAGTATTTAAGTCAATAACTCATGATATTGATTCTTGTAAATTTTAGAACCCCTCATTTATCTTTTTAGTTATTTCAATCTACTCAACCCAGGCACAAAACGGCAGACCTCCTGGCAACAAGGAAGTCATGTATGATGAGTTTGGAAATGTCGTAGCTGTTGTCAAGTTGGATCCTGAGAAGTTGCCTACTCACAAGTGGGTGACCACTTTATCCATTTCAAAGCAAATGAATTTAAAATAATACTATATCACTCAGCTCCTCTTAGTATCTTCCAACAACAGCTTGTAACAGCCAGCAACTGCTTGTATCACCCATCTCCTACTTATATCACCAGATACTTTTTGTATTATTCATCTCCTGCTAGCATCATCCATCTCCTGCTTGTATTATCCAGCTACTGATTGAAAATGAGAAAACAAATAGAAAGTCCATACATTTACATGTATTTATAATAACCACAGAATAATTAAAAATTAAGCGAGATTTTAATGTGCTTAAACCAGGGCCGGCACTAGGAGGTGCCTAACAGGGCAACTGGTGTGTGTAGTTTTTGTTTTATCGCCATTTCAATCATCGTTCTTTCATTGTGAATTGGCAAAATATACACACTTTACCCACTGTTCATGTTTAACCTGCAGTCTCATAGCGAATGTTCTAAAACACTGATGAAACACTTTTTTCATCATAATTTGTTTAAACACACAGCGTGTTTGCAGACTGATTGGCAAAGTTAAAGGTCTGTGTCACTCCCTGTTTTTAAAAGTAATTCAGTGACAGTGTGGCATGATGCGCTATTAACAGAGAAAACCACAATTTTGTCCAACAGAAACCCTTGCGCACTTTGCACTTTGCTATTTCAAGTGGTTTTATTAAGAAATCGATTCATGCCGTGGGTGAGTTAGCACATATGTCAGGGACAGTGCTATGTCAAGGTTTGCAGTTACAGGTTTCACTGTATAAACTGTATAAAGTACATCTAATAAAGAAAACCAGTTTGAAAAAGGTTTCATTTTATCAAATCTGTGAACTGTTCTTATCTTACAGAGTGAACATCAAGTACCAACTTGTGGAACCATTGACAGAGACCAGGTTTGATGTACTCAAAAAAAAATCCAATGGAAAATTGAAAAAATTGCGTTCTCAAAAGAATATCAGTACTGACACTGACCCAGTAACAAAAGGTGCTCAAATTTAGCAATTAAAATTATTGAACTTATCATATATTATTAGAAGAGTAAGACTATCAAGCCATTTAATTAAATGGAATATCCGGTCTTGTTCATTAGACAGCTTGGAATATATGGTGAAGAGTTTCCATATTTTCAAAGTAAGAAAAATAATATTAATGCTATTTTTTAATGATAAAATAAAAAGGAGTACAATTTAGTTGAGAAACATTTCTTATTTATTGGGAATTATTATATTATATATTTTTAGCCCTCCGAATGAAGCCAGACTCATCCCACTCTGGACCATTACCTCCACCCTTGGTGAGTTCCAAGCAAGAAAAAAAGAACTGTGGTTTAATGCATTTGAATTAATAAGATAATATAGATTTTATTCCTATTGTATTGTAAGGATGCGTAGATAAGTCTCAGATATTTAAGAAATTTAACAAATGATATTAATTGGCTCATTTGGAATTTATTCTTAATGAACTCTTCTTTCATAGCATTAATTTTCTTCACTTTTTATTATTTTTTAAAGAAGAGTCGTAGAAATTCTTCGATCTCAATGAAAAACTCTACAGAAGAAATACTAAGTCCAGTGGTACATTCCAAGTTTTTAAATTCTTCTATATTTAAAAGACACTATTTCAAAATTGTCTTGACACTTTTCCAAAGTTATCCACATTTTAATTGACACTGCTTAACAATTTTCTACATTTTAATTGACAATGTTTTTGAAGTTGTCCACATTTTGATTGACACTTTTCTCAAGAGTTCCAAATTCGTCTTAATATTATTTTTCCTTAAATTTAAAAAAAGAAATGTATTATCTGGCTGTTAAATGAAAATTATTTAACTGGCAATAGCTTGGCTACTAACTAAAATGAGAAATATTACAAGGAATAGCTTCAGTATCATAACAAGGAATATCTTCAGTATCATAGCAAGGAATAGCTTCAGTAATAATTAATGTAACAAAGAATAGTTTCAGTAATATAACAAAGAATAGCTTTAGTAATAAAACAAGGAAAACCAAGTGAATTTATATGCAATGACAGTATTATTTATTTAATTGTTACATGTGAAATTTAAAAAAATAAAAATAAATGTATTCTCATATCATTCAAATCCTAAAACTTTTTTAATAGTTCTTAACATCAATGACAGAGGAGACCACCATTTTAACTTGTTTATCTGGCCCCAGCTGTTTGTTATTGTTAAACACTGAATTATTTCGACACCTGTTCTGTTGTTAAAACTTTACCCACAATTCTTTCCTCAGATTGAAGAAATGGAGGTGGCTAGAGGAGTCATTGTTAAGGAGGGAGGGAGAGTCAAGAAAGGACCTGGGCTGGTAAAAAAATTTTGATAATATATTGGTACTATTATCATTCAGATTGAGCATTAGATTACCTCAAACATCACATTGATATAATAATTATTGCATTATGATCGGTTTTTATTTCAATTAAAAATTTGTCAACAAGTTGCATTTAATTTATCTGTTTATGATGATATAAAATCAATTTTTATTCACTGCAGTACTATAGAAAGTTTGACATCCTGGAGGAAAGCCAAAAGGGGATGAAGCAGATAAGTCTAAGGATCACCAGGCCAGGAATTACTGTCACTGACTTGTTGGACCGAGCGACGCCCATTCTCCGTCAGTTGGGAGAAACATCGCCTTTGCCTCCTATAGTACCCCATCCACCACCACAAAGAATGCAGCCCTCAGTGTAATCCCCAGACCTTCAGAACATTATCTGATGCAGTGATGAGGCCAGACATATTTTATATATAAACATTGGAAACACAAAATGATTAGCATTTCAAACAAGAAAATCAGTGATTTTAATAGAAACATGTTTCTGTTTAATTATGTCATCTCTTCTTTCACAAGATAATTTCTTGGTCACACCTTATGCTTTACTCATTCCTGGCGGCAGTGCTACTTCCGTACTTAATTTATATTCCTGAGAAAGGGAAGTAATTCAGTTTTGTAATTGATTTACATTTGTAAAATATTTATTTAAGCTGCTACATATTAATGATTTAAGGATAAACGTGTCCAGAAATGAATTAGGTTTAATAAAATATAAGACTAACAAATAATAAGCAATGACCAAAAAAAATCTATTTTTGGCACCTGGGATGAACACGTGCTAGAATAGCTGTGCTGTACTAATGCACGCATGGATTGAGAGTGAAACAAGAGATAAATGCTTCTGTTTTTTTTTTACTTTAAATCCGGCCATCACCAGAAGTCTTGAGGGGCACAAGCTTTATTGCTCTTTTAAATTAAAAATGAGAGAGGTGTGTTGCTCTGCACCGGGACACCTCTGTTGGAACACCTGAATAGAAATTAAGTCACAAACGCTGGGAATGAGTTAAGATTAACTTATATGAAAATACAAAATTTTCTCTAAGAAAACTAAATGTTTTTATTTAGTAGCTAAAAAAATTACTTGACATATAAATTTGAAATACAAAATTCTATTGTGCAGTCCTTTAAAATGAACAAATTTAATATTTGGAATATGAAGTTTGAATTCCGAATTAGGATATATGAGAAAAGTATTATGGTGTGGATGTTGTTATAAAATATTTCATGTTCAGCAACAAACAAACAAAAGAAACAACAAACAAACCACCAGGATTTATTGGTACATAGAAAAAACAATTAAAACTTTTAAAGTAAGTTGTTTGTTCTAGTTCATTGCTAGCCACGATCGTGTTGTATAAATAAGCTGTTATATATCATGTCTGTAGCACAGTTTGTGATCCACTAACATAATCATCATGTAGGGCATCATTGAATTATCTGCTCAGTTCAATCAACTGGTCAGTTGGATAAACTGGTCAGATGGATTAACTGGTCAGTTGGATAAACTGGTCAGTTAGATAAACTGGTCAGATGGATTACCTGGTCAGATGGATTACCTGGTCCGATTGGATTACCTGGGCAGCCGCATAAACAGATCAGATGGACTACCTGGTCAGTTGGATCAGCTGGTCTCTTAGATTACTTAATCCATTGGATCATCTGGTCAATTAGATCACCTTACATTAGATCATCTGAGCTTGGCAAATAAATGGACTCTCACTAAAAAATGAATCTCTTGAAAACAATGCTCAGACATTTTTGTGAATGAAAAAATAATTCAGTTCATGCTCTTTATAAAACAATGTCCATTCAGCAACCTAACAAGATAGTGCAGCAATTTACAGAACTATTAGCTGATGTAATGAACAGGAATAGAACATGTCTTTTTGCACTGAATCTGTGATAAAAAAATTTATTGATCTTTCTTAGTCTTGTCATATTGATTGTTTACAAATCTGAATTTTATATGTATATAAGAATACACTCTGATATAGAGCATGGCATTTCTTGTTTTTTATTCACAAAACTTGAACCATTTGAACTTAGCATGAAGAAATGAAACAAATTATGCTGCAACAAAGATCTGATATTACCAGAATCACTCATCCACACCACCCAATCTGTCAATCACTCATCCACACCACCCAATCTGTCAATCACTCATCCACACCACCCAATCTGTCAATCACTCATCCACACCACCCAATCTGTCAATCACTCATCCACACCACCCAATCTGGCAATCACTCATCCACACCACCCAATCTGTCAATCACTCATCCACACCACCCAATCTGGCAATCACTCATCCACACAACCCAATCTGTCAATCACTCATCCACACAACCCAATCTGTCAATCACTCATCCACACCACCCAATCTGGCAATCACTCATCCACACAACCCAATCTGTCAATCACTCATCCACACAACCCAATCTGTCAATCACTCATCCACACAACCCAATCTATCAATCACTCATCCACACAACCCAATCTGTCAATCACTCATCCACACCACCCAATCTGGCAATCACGAATTTGGGGAGAGGATGTCGAGATATGACTAGGGAGTGTTGGGGGGGGCGTGGATAGCAGTGACTTAAGGTGGAGGGGGGCGGTTTGCTCTCTTTCTCCTTTATGTAGAAGGGGGGGGGGGCGCATCATTTTGGGCCAACTGCAGACTTTTTTTTTNGGGGGGGAGCAAAAATCTTGGGTCGCCCCAGGTGATAGTAGGGCATACTAACCCTAGCTAAGGGGTTGGGTCAGAAATTGGCCAAAATAGCGTCACTTCATTTAAGAATCGTCCCTTAAATCCAAACGGATGTTGTATTATATTGAGGTTTTATCTTTTCTAGTCTGTGCGATATGTAAGGTTTTTATCCTACGTGAATGACGTTATAGCCACACACTTGCATATTATATTTGAAATATTATATATTCTTCCATTGCTTGGACCTCCGGTTAAATATCTTAGAACTCATATCCCTTCATGCGGCATCAAAAGAGTTACCGATAAGTTTATTGAATTTATTGGGGTCAGAGAGGGAGGTTATCAGGAAGCTTTGAATGAATTCAAGGTCGAGTTCGGTCCCCGTGTCAGTGTCAACACAACTCCGGCCGAGATTTCATTTTGTAATTTTTGGAAATTCCAAAAGATCGACACGTGTTAAGTATAATATTCAAGCACTTCCTATACCACTGGTGAAACGAGGTCACACATCCGGGGTATGGTAAACTTGCCTCTTTGGAGTCATGTCCGTTATTCGTCATAGAAAATGTTAGTTCACAAGATTGACTCAACAAGACGAGAAGGGTTTGCTTACTTTTAAGTAGATTTCTTTTATTTGTCACGCATCTTCGACAGTTAACTGAGACTGTTTGCTCTTCAGTATGCCTCCATAGTGTTCGCCCGCCACCGACAGCCGGCTGAGACTTGAGGTCACCAGATGTTAACACTTCATTTAGTGACAGCAGGTGTGAGCTGGTCTGAATTAGCTGTCAACACTGCCAGTCTGTGATATATCCCCCCCCCCCCCCAAGTTTGAACTTGGGACTTCGTTGAGCAGTGAACATACTTTTCGGGCGAGTTTTATGCTATTGGGTCCTACTGAGTCCCGTGTCCACGGTCTCGAATATGTCTCTTTGATTTTCGTATCTTCCTGCTGAGGGGTTCAATTAAAATTTGAAGACGAAGTGTAGTACTATCCCGATTGTAATGACCAAAAGGCTTCCTATCCCGATTGTAATTACCAAAAGGGTTCCTATCCCGGGATCCAGCTCAATTTTTAGTAAACAACNTCTCTCCCCCCCCCCCCAAGTTTGAACTTGGGACTTCGTTGAGCAGTGAACATACTTTTCGGGCGAGTTTTATGCTATTGGGTCCTACTGAGTCCCGTGTCCACGGTCTCGAATATGTCTCTTTGATTTTCGTATCTTCCTGCTGAGGGGTTCAATTAAAATTTGAAGACGAAGTGTAGTACTATCCCGATTGTAATGACCAAAAGGCTTCCTATCCCGATTGTAATTACCAAAAGGGTTCCTATCCCGGGATCCAGCTCAATTTTTAGTAAACAACATCCTTCCCGGGGGAAAACCCAGGTACACACTTTTAGAATACAATTTGATTGTCTTCTTTTTATTTTTACATTTCAGTAAGTCACAGACTGTCACGAATGTCGCTGTAAGTCAGAACCTGTAATATCAGTTATTCAGCTCAGTACCGGAACCTGTTAGCTCTATTTCTAGTACACATAATTCACACATGTTCTTAGGAGTTTTCAAGTCAAGACCAAATTTACAAATAAACAAGGTGATCCCTACCGCGATATTGTTAACAAAAGAGGCTTTTAAAAAGGTTGCATTCTTGGACATTAACATATAATATTAGAACTATAGATTTTTCAGTTTTATAATTAACGATATAAGCCAAAATCCCAAGCACCACGGGTGGATGGAACCCGTTAGCCTAGGACGGCACGGCATCTAAGAGAAGGCAAACTCTGAATTCAAACCAGGAGCCAGAAAGATCAATAAATGGATCGTGGGCCCTCAAAATCAAATATAAGAAGAAGGTCATGAATTCAAACTTAAATAAGAGGGATGCTACTAAAGTTCCTCATGGGAATCACATTTGTTTATACAATAGAAATTTTAAAATAGCACTAATTATATATATATAATTTTAATCCTTGAATTCTTGAATGTCCAACTGGACAATAGAGAAACCTAAAATACTGGAGCTGGGCGAAATAGAGACTGCGGGGAGACAACAAAAAAAAGCCAAGGTCACATGCGAGAAGTGGAGGGGAAAAAATAGAGATTATATAGAAATGACAAAGATACATTTATAATAATAACAACTATCATAACGTTACAAAGACAAAGATGGTAATAAGTATAATAGATTGATGAATAATAATGGGAAAATAAACAAACCTCATAAGGTTTCGCTTACAAAGGCAAAGATGTTAACAATTAATATAATTGTCTAGAGTTATGGCCCGCCAAACATTGGCTGACTAGAGTTATGGCCCGCCAAACATTGGCGACAGCAATGCGTGAACTTCCCATCTCCTAAAGTTACTTGACAAAACATGAACTCAAGTGACGCACATTTAAGAATCCCAATTTTTGCTACACCGCTTCACCCCATGAAACGTCACTGCTCACTTTTTATTTCACGGCTATGAACTGTATTAAATAGTCTGATGTCCCAACCACATTTAAACCGAATATAGTGTACACCATACTTAAATTTTGATAATTTTGCGTGCTATTGAACTCAATATTGAACCATGCTTTCAAACATTTAGAATTATTTTTAATATACTCTCAATACCAAATTCGCTAATTAGGAAGGAGTTCATTGGTAAGCAGTCCACGAGTCACACCAGAAGCGTAAAAAATATATATAAGAGATTGATAGAGATAAGATAATAAGAGTACACTGGGGAGAAAAAAAATATACAAGCTTGTAAAATGATGCTGCAAAAGCCAAGATCTCAAAACAAACTTTTTAAAAGTCAAAATCTTGTTTAACAAAAAATTATATTTGAATAAAACCACTGGAGATCAAAAAGGAAGCTTTGGGAAAGTTACTCAACTCATTGTAAACACTCGTACACACACTCACACACGCACACACAAATGTACCATTATTTCGTACAACAGAAGTTATAAGTTATCATCCAGGTTATTATCAATTATAATACATGATGAAGGCTGTTTTGTTGTTTTTTTTCAATTGAATACAATATTTTGGGCTATAGATTTAAACTTGTTTTACGTTAGGACTACCGTCACTATTAATCATAAGCTTAAGGAAAGCAGCAATGATATGTGATAGATGTAAATTACAACATAAGTAAATAAAAAAAGAAAGAAAAGAAAATTCAATGTTGGTAGGGTCCTGACAAAAAAGCGTGGAAACCCACACAAGAACCCCCCTCCCCACCCCCCTAACTTCTTTTTAAAAAGGTGTTTTTTTTCCCCAGAAATAAATATATATTTATTATTAAGCGTAACAAAAAAAAAAGGAATTTCGTTCCCAGACCTCTAGAGGCAGGGCGATCTTTAGAGACAGTCAGACCTCTAGAGGCAGGGCGATCTTTAGAGGCAGTCAGACCTCTAGAGGCAGGGCGATCTTTAGAGGCAGTCAGACCTCTAGAGGCAGGGCGATCTTTAGAGGCAGTCAGACCTCTAGAGGCAGGGCGATCTTTAGAGGCAGTCAGACGTCCAGAGGCAGGGCGATCTTTAGAGGCAGTCAGACGTCCAGAGGCAGTCAGACCTCTAGAGGCAGTCAGGCAGTCTGAACTTGAGTGCCTGAATGCTTCTCGCACTATCTCATTCGATTATGACATAATCGTCTAAACAGACATGGTCATGTATCGCTGGTGAGGTGGTGTTGAATGTTTTAAGACACAAATGAAGCTACAATATAAGAAAAAATGAAGCTCCAATATAATACAAAATTATGCGACAATATAAGATAAAATTATGCAACGATATAAGACAAAATGAAGCTACAATATAAGACAAAATGAAGCTACAACATAAGACAAAATGAAGCTACAATATAAGACAAAATGAAGCTACAATATAAGACAAAATGAAGCTACACTATAAGACAAAATGAAGCTACAATATAAGACAAAATGAAGCTAGAATATAAGACAAAATGAAGCTAGAATATAAGACAAAATGAAGCTACAATATAAGACAAAATGAAGCTACAACATAAGACAAAATGAAGCTACAATATAAGACAAAATTAAGCTACAATATAGACAAAATGAAGCTACAATATAAGACAAAATGATGCTACAATACAAGACAAAAAGATGCTACAATATAAGACAAAAGGATGCTACAAAATAAGACAAAATGAAGCTACAATACAAGACAAAAGGAAGCTACAATATAAGACAAAATGAAGCAACAATGAAAGTCACAATGAGGACCCCGACTTTTGTAAATGCTTCCAAAGCCAAGAGGAA